TGAGGCCCCGCCCGCCCCGACACCCGCAGGCTCCGCCGGGCTGCCCGTAGCGGCCATCCCCCTCCCGGGACTGGCGGTCTGTAGTGCCCTCAGGCGCCTTCTGCATGGCGGGATGAACTGCTCCCCTCAGGAGCCCGTCCCCCAGTTAATGGCTGCCCCGGCTGGCCTGCCCTGCGGCGGGCGAGCTCGGTTGGGGAGGGTAGGCCCGCCACACGACGTGGTGACCGGTAGGCCCAAGAAGGGCTGCCCCAGCCAGGCTTCGCAGCAGCCTCTGGTACATTCACCTCAGGTTTCCTCCATATAGCCACAGATTTTGATTTCATTCGTCAAGCAGGTAACACCTCTGCGTCCCTCGGTGGCCACTTCTTCCCCTTCCAGCAGTTACCGTGGTTTGCGTGGCTCTGGGGAGCAGGAGGGGCTGCTCCTGCGGCTCCCCAGGTCTGGCTGTTCCCCACACCAGCTGCATGCCTGCGGCCTGCCATGGATCACGCCATGACTTGCGCTGCTGCCATGTGTCTTTTTGTCTCAGTATTCACCCCTGTAAAGGTAGGTATGTAGTTTATCAAGCCACACCTTTCTGTTCTTTGTAACAAACCAAATTAGTTACAAACTTCAATAATTTTGCATCCTAAGGCATCTCCTCCAGCCCTTAAATTAGTGTTCTGTCCTGCCCATTTCCTATTTTTTCAGCGTTGCATTTCAGAAGGTTAAGATTAAGGTGCTGTGTTCATCTATCTTGGGGTAGAAAAGGCTCTAGTATATCCCTAGGTGCGCCTCCCCTTTGCATAGGGGCAAAGGCCAACTGTAGGCCATTAGAGAGCGCACAGCCCGGTGTTTTTCTTCCTCTAGCCCCCACCCCTCACCCAGCTGCTGCTCCTCTGCGCCACGGTCCCTACAGCTGCGTACGTGTGCGTACCTGAGATGCGTGGCTTTGCATGTGACTGTTGTACGAGGCAGTCCCTTTATTCGGACCCAGTTTATCATGTTGTGAACAATGGCCCTGGTCATCCTGATTGTACCACCCTGCTGATGCAGATGTCATCTGCAAATTGTATTAGGAGGGATTTTGTATTTATTTCCAAGTGGCTAATGAAAATATTGATTATGTACATGTGTAGTATAGCATACGTGATCCTGGAGGGATCCGGTTAGAAGTAGCCTTTATAACCAGTTCCAAAAGGAAAATAATCTATGTGGCCGCTGTTTAACATATGCTTAACTGATGCTTTATTACCCTTTGTTTTTATAAAATATTGCGCAGTTCTAAGTAAAAATACTTTAAAAAGTTCATTACACCTTCCAAAGGAAATTGAATTATTTGTTGTCTTCTTGAAGCATGAAATGAGATTTCTGTTAGACCTCTGACTGGCATTACTAATTCTTTTATCTGAGTCACATACCAACACTTTTTGGTGTTCAGCCAGGAACTGTTCTTACATCTACATTTACTACATATCCTGCAACTGTCCTTTCTGAAGACAAACACCAGCCTGCACTTTTTTAGGTCTCTAGAATTTCCCTAGTGTGTCAGGGTTTACCAAAGATGAACATCAACAGACAAGGGGACTCTGCAGCCAGCTGTTTCGGAGCTTCTGGGCCACAGTTACCCCTAGAAGACAAGGGCTTCATTGGTTACTAATGGACTGAAATTTATCACATCACTGTTAAGTAATCCACCCACATATCGTCCTGCTTCTTTACAAACATAGATCATAAATGTTCAATGAACACTTCTGCATCATTATTGACATTTTAATCATGTCCATCTAGTAATGGACCTCTACCATTACTAGGGTTTTCTGGGATTTAGCCTTGCCAGCTATGGATTTCCTTTGATGTGCTTCACTTCCAATAACTACTCTGCTTCTCATAACTTCTCATTTATACCAACACTTTATTTCCCGCTTTCCCCATTTTGGCTATTTATTATTTGTCTTTAATCATTCTCCCCAGTCTGCTAATAAAACAGGAATTGCCAGTGTATTTTCTCACTCAATTTTGAAATTGTGGCTCTCTGATTGCTCAGTGAACTCTTTCTGAAGAGCTCGTAGTTCTCATTTTTAGCCTTCTACCTAAATTTTTCTTCCTGCTTGCACTCTCATCTTCTGATGAGTTGGAAATGCAGCTCTTTTAAAGCACCAGATGTGTGCAAAGTCAGGTCGTGAACACTGCTCCCCAGACAGCCACTGAATTGCAATCCAGATATTTTTTTTTTCTTCCTTCATTATAACGAAGTCCAGAAGCGTTTACCCTGTGCCTCATGCCAAACAGCTCATGTCATTTTTAGTAACTTAAATGACATTTTATTATTGTACCCATATGGTCTTGTGCTAATATTTTCTTTATTCTGATAACTCCTCTCTCTTGAGTGTCTACCCGTTCATATGTTTATAAAGAGTAATCAAATTCCTTCTGTTTTGCTGGGCAAACCAAGCCAAAGCCTTTTATTCTTCCCTCACGCTTCTGGCTCTCTGCTCCCCTGTTCATCTCACTAGCCCTCCTCCCCTGCACCTGTTCCCATTTAAATCAATCTTTATTGCATAGCGATGTTTTGAAGGGTCATGTTGAAAGGTAACTCTAATATATTTAAATTTCAAACTCCATTATATTTATAAACTGTGCAAAAAACCCTAGTTCTGTGCCATGCTTTTTACATTAACTTACCGCTTGTCCCACTAGTTATTCCAGGGGCTGAGAGACAGATATGCAGTAACCACAGACCCCAGCACCTTTCAGAATATTGTGATATTTCACAAATAGACTTGCACTCCCACCTTTGTGCTGATTCATGAAGGTTTATTACACTCAAGGCAAGACAATAACAGCCTTGTGCGAGTGTCCCTATCACACCCATGAGTATTGCCTCATTTGCTTGTATTTCCTCCCACGTCCCTGTCCCAGATCAGCAGTCTTCCCATGACAGACTTTTATTTTAGGGGGGCTCTAACAGTTTTCAGGAGAGTCCATGTTTTCTTCTAGACTCCTCCAAGATTCCTTAACCCTGAGAGGTGAGGAATAACAAATGTCATCTAAAAGGTCTTGCTTTTCTCTTTTGGAAACGTTTCTCTAAGGCATGGACAACGTTATTCATGAATCCTCAAGACAAACACTGCGATACAGCCGTATAATTTTCTCTCTGCATTAAAAATTTGTGCTAACAAAACCAAACTTCCTGCTTTTTGCAAAGCATGACTCACATTTCTCCATTCTGTTTTGACTGACTGACATAAGAGATCTATTTCAATCATATGACAATAACGTTAAATCTGACCAGCCATTTATGTGGAAATCAAAGCCTGCTCTTGCAGGATGGATGGATGGATGTTAACAGGAATGGTGTTTTGTGTAACTCCACTGAAGATCTGCCTGCTTTTCTCGAATGACTGGCTCTCAGAGCAGCGAGGCGCAGCAGCGAAACCTCAGCATGCCACCTCGCGGCTGCGCTGCACCAAGGGCTGTTCCTGCTCCCCTGCAAAATGATCATTTTAGCTTGCCTTTTCCCCCAGGAAAATTCAGACCATCGAAAAGCTGCATATGGTGTAATTAGTATACCAGCACCCCTGCTGATGTCTGTTCACCAGCAGAATGGAACCAAGGAATTCTTCACCCAACAGATCAAACCAGAGAGGAGCAGTGAAGCAGGCGTTACTCAGAAGGAACGTCACTGAACTGGGGTCTGCAGGATAAAAAATTAGGTAGCAAGAACGTAATTGCTGGGCCATGACAGGCTTGGAGAGCCACTGCCAACCAGGAAGAGAGTTTATCTGGACAGATGAGTTAGAAATGCTCAATCTTGCGCTTGGTTTCTCCAGTGTGTTGGTGAAGTTTTACCTGCGTAGGTCTTGTTGTTTTTGAGCTGTTTCGTGCCTTATCAAATGAGAGAAGCATATAGTTAATTGGATAAATGCATCTGACACCCTGCTGTGCCTTGACTAGGATTTCGCTCAGGTTAGCAAGCACTTTTGCAACAGGTTTAAGCTGGGCTGAGTCTGCCACAGCAGACGATCCTACAGCCTTTCCACTCCCACCTGATAGATCTTGCTGCCTTCCTCAGGAAAGGTCAAGGAAAACTGACCTTGATTTTGCTGGCTGCTTTACCTTTCAGAAAAAAAAAAGCTGTCTGCCAGCACATGGAAGTGTCAGGAAAACTTGGCGAGCGATGGGCCGTAGGTTGGGAATGCTCCTTTTTGGGGACAGTGCTGTGCTAGACCAGAGCAGCTGAAGCCAGTTACAAAACTCCCCTGCGGAGATGTATGTTAAGTTTGGCTGAGCCAGTTCAACCTCCCTCACCTGGCAAGAAGAAACTGCTCTTTTTGCCTGCGTGGCAAGGTGAATCAGCACAGGGGCAGAGGAATGCCAGAGCCAGCATAAACCCTGTACCCAGGTTGAGAGTGGATGGTGGGTGGCAGGAGTAAAGAGCAGGATCTTCCCCTTCTGTCAACAGCAAGCTGTTATCTTGGCTACTGTGTAATTTCCCAACATGTAATTTGAGCCTCCGATGCGGAACTCGGCACCCAGAATGGCGCTGCCACCCTTCTCAGCCCGATGGTCCAAGCAACACCAGCGTGGCATTTCGCTAGGGCTAACACCTCGCGGTTCCCACCCTGCTCGGCGAGCGAAATGTCTGTTCAGAGGAAGCAGGTTCGAACACCTGCCTCTGCGCTGAAGCAGACAGGACGAGAGCTGGCTCCCGGAGAGGCTTTGACATGGGGCAAACACAGGCTTGTACGAAAGGACTTTGAGCTGTTTGCAGAGCTGGCTGTCACTGAAACTGAAGAAAAATCCATTTCTAAAATGTCCAGTGCCGCCTTTTTGTGCACAGGCAAGGCTCAGCACACCGCAAATGGAAGGTTTTCTTGCGTTCACTGAAACTGCAGCTCCCTGCCAGATTCAGATAAATTGCCAACAGAAAGCCCCAGTATCTATAAGTGGCAATGTTTGCGTTCCGCCAGGCAGACGCACTGCGAGATGTGTTTCAACCCAAAGCCATCAGCCATTGCTGTGAGGGTACAAACAGGTTTATCGCTCCACACATAACTTCTGGACTAACACTCCCCATTCCAGTGGGATTTGAGAGATGCCCACGTGTAAGGACGGGCTTCCTGAATCGGTGCAAAGCCCCTGTGACTGGTTTTCGTTCCAGGCAGCAGTCAAACATTTAGGGTAATGAAAGGAGTAACCCCAAACCCAGTCAGCTGCTCCTTCAGTTTTAACATTAGTGCACTGTGGAAGAGCACAGTACTTAGGTCTGATTCTTTCTGAAATGTGTGTCCCGCTAGATGTGCGTGTTTACGCTTTAAATGTGTAACTTGCAGGAAAGATCGTTGCCAGCTAGCAGAAAACACGGAGCGACTGTACAGCAATCACGTGCTGCTCTCGGTAGCAAGTCACCTGCTCTGTGCAGAAAGGGAAGGCCTCACCGCACCTGGGACAAGCCTGGGTAATGATAACAGAGCCTTTGTTGAAATACCACCCCGTTGTTCAAAGACTGGTGCGCTGACCCAGGGGAAACAAAAGGAACCGTTTCCAGCCCTTAAAAATAACAG